GCAAAGTTTTGCTCATTACTTTTGGAGAAATAAAAAGTTGTAGAATCATTTATTAAGCACTACAATTGCATCCTTAAAGTCGGTGGTCAGTGATAAAGTCGTTAATTGGAATGTTACACAAGAAAATCAGAGGAATTAAACATAAAATCTCTTTTTTTCCTTGAACCGTAATATTTCCTGCACATTACAATGAAGAATATAAAACATAAATAAAAAAACTGAATAAAAAAAAGTAAACCTTAAATTTTGTGATTACAGTATAATTTGATTTTTATAACTGCATGTGAGCTCTTTGTATGGTAAAACAATCGAATTAAGAATAATCGTTTCAGCAAGAACATGAACATCGGAACCAAGAATAGTTAATGACGGATTAAGACGGCCATCAATGTTGAACAACGGTTTATTGTCCAGTTTAGCGAATGGAATGTTTGGATTTGGTGAAATTGGTGTACCTTCTATACGTGTCCATGCACCAACAACACTACGCCAACCGATTACTGAATGCAATACACAAGCATGTTCGTTGATTACCGCCTCAGCTAGAACAATACTTTCACGAACACGAACACCAGCTGAAATTTTGGCCTTCGCACCAATACTCACATTTGGACCTATTTTTGCCGTTGGATCAATCTGCAATAAAAATTTCTTTGAAGGAAATTTAAAGTTTAATGTAAAAATCAAAACAAAGTGCTCCTGCAAATCGCACAAAGATATAAAGAACTTCATTATTCTCAAATTATGCTAACTTCGTTTCTATATTACCCTATGATGTGGAATGACAAAGATGTACAAAACTGCGTGGTGTATTTCCAGTTATTATAAATTGTGGATAACTAGAATAAAGAGATCTTAATCGATTATAGCTGGTAACAATTCTTTTCAACAGACTAAAAGGCGTGATGTCCTATTACCAACGATGAATGCTTAATTTGATGGACTGAACATTTGTTCGACCAGTATTATGATATTATTATGTAAGGTTAATTGAAGCAAATGAACCAAAACGACAAACATCAACCTCAGCAGTAGGATCAATGAAAACGTCACCAACGATTTGTGCTCTATCATGACACAACCGCGATGGATCGGAAGCGTGATACAAACGTAGATAATGGCGATTTGCGTAAAGTACTGCACTAAAATAAAATATATCACTATTAACAGCTCATATAATATACTAAAAGATATAGAAACAAATAGTAAAGCTTCAATAATCATTTTCTGAATAATAAATATTACGCAGCAGTTTTTGTCTGACTCCACCAACGTTTCGTTTTCAGTGCATACAGTACGGATTCCGAAGCCATTTGTGGAAAAATCTCTGTTTCAAACCAAACCTGAAGTTATCAAAATCTGGATGTTAAATTAAAAGTTTTAAAAGAGAAGTAAATCTCGAAAGATATGATCACAAGCAAAGATTAAGAATATCTGAGAAAAAGACTAGGAATATCGGAGAAATTTTAGAAGTACTTAAATTTTCCATCAAACTTCGACTTATGCAGCAAAATTTCACTGCTTTTATGTATATTCTTCAAGACAGCTCTTAACGACAAGATATACATACTTGCTTTGCATCGGAACAACTGCGCGCTCTACCAATCCTTTCAACAACACTTGCGCGTAACAAGTAAACACCGCATGAAATATGTTGTGACACAAAAGTCGTTGGTTTGTCGACATAGTGAAGAACCTAAAGACATTTTACCTGCGATGTAATGAAGTTTTCCCAAAATTTGAAAATTCTGAAATGCTAGGAATTCGTCAAATTTTATTTCCTTGGAATATTTGATATATCCTTGGAAAAATCCCGATTTTGCTATAGTAATTCAGTGATTATGGTTATCATCACTATTATCACATATATTGACCTTGCCATTCGGATCGATTACGACGGAACCATAGTTGATGGATTGTTCACGGGTAGCTTCGGTTGTAAGTAATAATCCATGGGCGTTGTGTTTCACCGTTAGTTCATGGGCCATTTCGGCAATCGGCAAATCACCACAAACATCGGCGTTAAGCACAAATAGTGCACTTGGATTATTCTCAAGCAAGACTGACCGAAAATGGTACAAACCACAGGCTGTACCCAATGCTTCAGGTTCTTCTAAGTATCTGAAAAAAATAAAGCTCTTATACTTCCTTATTTTCATTATCGATTTCCATCACAGTAATTAAAATTGAGATATTTTCTCACATAATACAGACTTTTGCAGAAGAAGATAAAATGACCACATATGTACGAAGTTTTTCTTCTAACTCTCTTTCAATTTTTTTCAAAAATGAGTGAAAGAAAGTAGTTTTATAATTGGAGAACATAGCATAGAATTACTTCATGAAATTTATAAAAATTTGACAAACCTCCAAATAATATATCATAACGAAAGACACAAACGAATAACAGAAATCTACCTGATTCTAATGCTGTATGTTTCTGCACATTTTTGAATAAAATCGTAAAAGTATTTCGCTGGATAGAACCCAATCAAATAAATTTCCGTTACAAGAGCCAACTAAAACTAAAATTGTATGCTGACAATTTTTTTTAATTACTAAAATTTAATCAAGTCCCTAAATTCCAAATCTCACATTTGCATCGATGAAAAAAGGAAGCAACATATTTCTGTACTTCATGTGAATATAACTGCATTTTACAACATTTCATGCTTCCAGTTTTAAGAGTTCCATCAAATTCATAATGGTGTTTGTATTTATTTATAATGAATTTCAAAATATCTCAAAGGTATCGCCATGCTTTTTGAACAATGCCGCAATGATCAGATGCAGAACTGTAACAATAAAACTTGCCTTTGAAAGCTGTTCAATATGGTGTTCGATGAGCGGCACCCCAGCGATCGGAAATAGTGGTTTTGGAAGTTGTAATGAAAGTGGTCGAAAACGTGTACCTGAATGTAAACATAGGGGAATCACAGACGAAGTGGACACCGGGAAACAGTAAATGCAATGAGTAGAACTGGTAGAAATAAGAAAAAAGCATACAGCAAAATAAGGGACAGACTTGCAAGCAGCATTTCAAAGAATTCCGACTTATTTCAAGAAATTTTGATTTTCGATAGTGGGTGGCAGTGGCAAACTCTAATTTGGCCTACCTTTTTGTGCACCACCGACGAGAACAACCGCTTTCAAGGTCGTCGTCGTCGATGTCGCCAGTTGCGTGTCGCCCCAATCTGATCGAAGCATTGACCTTAATTTTCAAATCCAACATCAAACGTTAGAAAATTCCTCACTAGGAACATATAACATATTCAATAAAATGTATCTGGTGAGAAAAAATAAATAAATAAAACTCATGAATTATACCATTGAATTTCTAATTACTTTATTTTAGCATTATTTCTTTAAACCAAAAAATAAGTATAGAAAAAACTATTCCTATATTTTTTATTTTAAATATAATCTAGCAGTTGGATACGAGGTGAAAACTTTAAGCTTTACACTTAATTCAATCGAATTATACCAGTTCAAATGGAACTGTCCTCAAAATTTTCCCACTCATATGAAAATCGAATAAGTAATAAGCTAATTATAAACATTTCAAACCCTCCGCCCATCCCGTTCTTAATCGGCCTAGGGCCATGTCAAGCAGAATTTGGGGTTTCATGGCGATCATATCAAATCGGCTGATATAAGTCATTTAGTTCTATTAACGATCAACAATAATGGTAAAGGATTGGAATACGATAAAAAAAGCTACAGAATTAGACAAACTTAATGAAAGCAGCAAGCAGCTCAACAATTTGAGATAACAGAAACGACTGCATCATAATTTGAAGGCTAAACGAAAATCAATTTTGAAAATGAATCATTTGCAGAATAGAGCATATTTCCTCACAGCATTCAGAATTCAATAAATTAAGAAATAAAGCAAAAAAAAAGAGCCTAGCTGCGGTTTGAGTAAATTACAGAAGTAAGTGAGGTTACGTGCTAAAAAGATAAATAGAAGCATTTGTCTGTCTCAAAACTCAATCCACAAAGATGTATAGCCGGTGCAAATTGTGTCATATTTGGTGACAATTTAAAAATTATAATTTTACTACTTTTAAGTTCTAGCAAAGAACAAAATTCCAAAATAGAAACATTACTACAATTCCTAGCCACCAGCAGGAAAACACTATTAGCTAAAAAAAATACCCAGAAATGGCAACACTAATAGCAAAAGTGGATATTCAGAAAAAATAGTGGAGGGAAACTGAAACTTCTTTCAACCACTTTTTTCCAAAAACATAGAAGTTCAAAGCTGTAAGATAAACGGAAGAAGTAAACCACCTCACTGAATTACGCACATTAAATACTTTCACCATGATAAGTGAAAAGAATAACAAATTAGGATGGATTATCTTGCAATAAAGTATCCATGTCAGAGAGATACTTCATCAGATGTCAGATTTCGTATGAAAATCAAAAAAAATGAAGCACAGAAAAGAATTTATTCAAATAATTTGCAAAGTGGAAAAAATATGTCTGTGAGATAATTGGAATATTGTAAATAAAATTAGTTCAGAAAGTAAAAAGTAAATAAGTTCATCGAACTCAATTCTTCTGAAAAATAAAGTAAACTCTGTTCTGTTCAGAACATACTCGAAAAAACGGAAAATTGAGCATTTAAATATTATAAAAACCATGACATGCAAATGTATTTTCTTCAAAGACTAATACCACAAAACTTTTTATTGTAATAATTACTCTAAACAATGATGAACCATAAAACAGCTGTAGCCCCAATAAATGACAAAGAGAAACAGCGTGATATTACAAAAAGAAACAGTTCATTCACAGAGATATGAAGAATTTATGAAGGGAGTGGAAAAGGAACACAAGTGGAAGAAGCTAAAATAAATGACCGCTGTAGCGAGGAGCAACTGGAACGAATAACAGAGAGAAGCGGAATCTGAATTCTGAATACGAAAGAAGAAAGACGGAAAATCAATATCCGGATGGCTGCAACGGGAAACGCATGTGATGCAAAGGCTGTGTACCACGTGCAAATGGATTTGGAGCACCTGGAACAGCAGCACCAAATGTCATCGTTGGTGGCAGACCTGTAGGGGGATGTGCAACAGATGTCGCTGGTGAATTGCGATCAAAACTGCCAAGAGGTGCAATTGATGATGGTGGAGGAACTATCGATTGCGGTGGCATACCTGAAAAGTAAAGTGTAACTGAAACACACTGATTGTTGAATTAACCACATGATAAAATATAAGAAATTAAATAAAAGTGAACAAAAAGATTAATCTGGATTTGGTGCCATGATCTTTACTATATTACATTATTCCATTGTTAATTTCAGATTCGCCATGTCATGTATTTTTGGTTCTTTTTTTAATATAGCCTACTCTAACAGAGAGACTCCTAAATATCATTCTAAGCGCTTATTCTCCTGCACTTTGCCATTATCTGGCCCCTTCCGGAAACAGACTTCCAGACAGAAATTAAATTTCACTACTAAAAGTATAGAAACACAAAAATATCCGGTTGTAAACCTGGTCTTGCTATCGCTGGACTGAAATTCTGATGCGGTGTTGGGCTTGCTGAATAGGGCATTTGCTGCGGTGGAGTTTGCGACTGCATCATAGTACTAGCTATTGAGATTTGTGTACCGAAAGAAGTTGGTGGCGGATCGAATCCGGAAGTCGGTGGCAGGCCAGGACCCGGCATCGATGATGCTGGTGGCGGTAGTGTACTGGGCATAGTGGTTGGTGGAACATGTAGTGGTACCTGTTGAGGTGGCTGCGGTAATGCATTAGCACTAGTCATATTACCATATGGTTGTTGCTGATACTGTTGCTGTTGCTGCTGTTGTGGCTGCGAAGCTGGGACACCAAAAGATGGCATATTTTGACCTACGGGTGGCATGCCAAAGCGATATTCCGATTGTGGAGCAGAAATTGGTGTATTTGGCTGTTGCTGTTGACCGAATGTATTCATTGCTGGCAATTGTGTTTGATGTGGCAACGGCGGTAGTCCACCTATTGGTGCTGATGGTACTAAATGAGACGATACAGCTTGAGGTAATAACGAATTCGGAACTGGTGCTGGGGGAATACGATCACCCGCTTCTAAAAAGAACAACTTATCTTTCTTATCTAATTTATCAATTTCGGCACGATAAAAATTTTATATTTTTCCTTTTAGAATAATCCAGTCATAAAATATATCACACAAGAGACTATATTGCTAAAAGCTTAGACAAATCATGTTCTTAGCGTTAAGTTAGGTATTCTAAATAATCACTGACTGTAGTAACACGAGCTCCACACAAGCTTGTGTCCGGTGTCTAGCAGCTCAACTATTTAATAATAAGCTATAGCAAATGAAAGGGTAGTTCAAATGATCTAGTAAGACTTTAAAAACGAATTTACCATTTTGTGCAGGAGGAAATGATGAAGTTATGAGATGAGCACTGGATGATATATCAATTTCTGTATTCGGTTCACTATGTGAACCTTCTCTTGACGATGTTGAGTGTCCAACTGACTGCGAATTCTGCACATCAAGTGGAGCATTTGGCGGTAGTGATATGCCATCCAATAGCTTTCTGTGAGAAGCATCTTTGCTGGGTGAATCAATTTTACCCGAAAGAGATGCACCGTAAGTCGACGTTAAGTTATTTACCTAGAATTAATCCGGAAAACTTTGTCGAATGATAAAAACAATTTTATGATTCTTGAAGTAATGATGACAAAGGTGGATATTTAATCCTGCCGAAATTCTAGAATCATCTCAGTAGGGAAAAAGTAAAGGAACACTCCTCGAATGCTGTGTTAGTAGCACTAAATTTAAGTGTGTCAAAAACGACAGACAGAAAAATCAGCTTTCGGGAACTTTAATAAGCGGCTATATCTACCTGTTCATGGACAGATGGCTGTATTGTTGCAACCGATTCGTTATTTTTCATTAACTTATCGTTACATTCTCTGATGATTTCATATTTATTCATTTTGGCACCAATTTTAATTGCCTTCAACATTTCCAAAACAGATGCGGCTGTATCACGTACCATTTCTAATTGATGCTCTAGTCTGAAATAAGCAACTGAATGTCATCTTCCACTCATTTCTTTTCGATATTTTTTTTGTTTTACAGTGCTATTCACGTTATTTAAAAAAAAAAAAAAATTAAAAACAAATTCGTAAAGGACTTGACTAACATCCCTAATTATCCAAACAGGCCTTACGAGATAGTGTCAAGACAATTACTCACTTCATTGCCTGCGTAAAATCAGTTTCATCACTTAAAACGATTATCGAAAGTTTTGTTTCCGTTTGAAGTGCCAATAACAAGTCGGTATCATCTGCCAAAGTTATATAATCACCATCTGTAACATCACTGTAAATCACTAGTATAACAGCTTGACAATTCAGAGCAGCTCATTTCCATCAATCGTCCAATTCATGATCCAAAATATCAAATTTCAATTTGCAAAATAGAGCCAATATTATTACTTAACTTATTAAAAATTAGTAAATTTATGCTTGAACCGTAGATTTTGGGTCTTAATACACGATGACAACTGACAGCAAAGTCTAACCGGTCCATATGCGACAGAATTTTTCTTACTGAAGCCTTTATAGTGAATGTTCTACCTACCTTTCTAATCAGGTTTAAATCGCCTCCATGGAAAGTGTTCGTATCATTTCAAATTTTCAAATTTTTAAAATATTCATTATAGAATTCATCTACCTTCATCCTTGTATTTTAACGATATGTTTACTGAACTTTGAAGCTTGAATATTCGTTGCATCATTAAAACAAGATCATTGTATGACATATCGTCGCTATGATGGATGGTCATTTTACGCACATCGCTTCCGTATCGTGCCTTCAGCATCGTCGTTACCACTTTACCATTTGATACCATTTTCTGTAAATTCATTATTTAAGTTTCACAAATTCCTAATGTCTCTACGACAATGCAACGTAACGCAAAAGCACAACAAGATCTGTACCATATCAAATACGAGAGAGAAAAGATGTTTGCACATCCAGTAATTTCTATGCATTTGTCACAACATTAATCATGAGAAACAAATCCTTAATCTTGCCTAAACATATTTTAAATAATCAAACAAGTTTGTGAATTAAATAATGTTGGAAAAAAGGAAAAATGGACCAAAAAGAAAAAGAAGGAAATCAATCAAAAATTACAATCCGTAACTTATAATTAACAAAAGAGTTAAGAAAGAAGATGAATATAAGCTATTAGTGATAGAACAACAACATCTGATATGGTATTTTCTCTGGAAAAAAGTTGAAAGAGAGATAATTGCTGCGATCAATAGATCACAGAAAGCATTAGGCATAAAACAACACAAAATGACTATGAAAAATGATCGATTGGTAGTTCAGTTTCATCTAAACTAGATAAAACCATAGCAAATTCTTGCAATAAAGAATTACTAAAAGAATTGAAATTGAAAAAAAAAAAAAGAAAACCTCTGATCCAATTCACACCCGACTAGAGCTTCAAATCAATCAGTCAACTAAATCTCACCCCTTCGTCGTTTTCCCCACTTCCACGTCAACTTGTGAGAAAAATTAATCGTCACAATACGGTAATGACAATTCACGTTATGAAATTCATAGCTTCCCATCAGAATAATTGTTAAATCGAAGTGAGATTGTATTTTAAAATTAATTTCATACGTATGATGAACTCAATGCAATTGAGAATTTTCCTAAATTCAGCAAAACATAGTAATCCGTCATTTTTCATCGTTAACAAATAGAATCGATCAATTCAATAGAGTCATTCAAACATATTTTCTTTAAATTTTACACAATCAAGTATTGTTAACCTTCGAAAGCTTTATTGTGCTTTCTCATAAATTTTGAATAATTTATAAATTTCAGATGAAAAATTTTCTTCATGGTATAATTAACAGGTCGACGAGACGATACAAACAAATGGATATTTCCCCTGCCTGAATTTAATTTCAAAAGAAAATAAAAAGAATTGAAATAAATGAGGTATTAAAAATTACTGCTGAACATTTGAGTGAGAAGTGAAATAAAAATTTGCTATCTTTGAAGTGCCCTCAGTTCCTTTCTCAAAATGAGATTATGATTATTTATGAAAAAGAAATTCAAATGTGTTCTATTTTCTTAATTAGTTCCGTCTTGAGAACGGAATTTTGAAGTCAAAATTAGAAAAGTATTAGTATTCAATTCTATCGCATCATCCTGTTGAAGCTCATTTGTCTTTTCATCTCTCCGCTGCTTACAGTTCATCCGAAACTCTCAGGTTTACTTTAAGTTACATCATAAATTACATTAATTTAAGTTATATCTTTTTTTCAATTTAAATGGATGAAATGAATTATCTCTGAGCAGTAATAATTTTATGAAAAGCA